AGGTCCTTTCACTGGATGTGATCTTAGCTTCAAAGGTCCTTTCACTGGATGTGATCTTAGCTTAGTTTTTCTCGCGGCACAGAATACGAACGACTCTCTTCGTGACGGCACTCAGAAAATATTTTCCTTCGTGATTTCCGGGATTCACAAATCTACGTTAGTTATACCCTAGGAGGCTCGAGTTCACACATTTATGCGTCTATTTACGTTATGTAAATACTGGTCAGCGGTTTTTACTTTGTTGATTAAAATATAAGTTGGTGTGATATCTAGAGATTTTATCGACTAAATAAAATGATAGATAAGTACTGGTCAGCGGTTATTTTTTCGAGGTCAGCGGTTTTAATGGTAATTACTTAATAAACCATTATGTTGTAAGTGACGTCATAGCCGTGTTTGGTTCTGCATGGTGTGGAAGGCAGGCTTGTGTATCAGCTTAGGCCTTGGACTCATCACTCTCTCAGGGCTTTATTTCTACTCAAAATGCAAGGGAGAAAAGAAGAAACTCCAACAGAAATTACAAACGGTACTAGAGTAGCGGAACATACCATTATAGTATGCGCGCGCACTGTTTTTTTTTTTTTTTGCCATCACAGGATAGTTTTTTCTTCATGTTTTCCTTTTATCAGAGTGTTTTGCCGAACCCCAAAATGTGAAATTTGCTGCTTTATGGGGGATGTTTTGCTTAAACTATATGTAACGAGAAAATTGTGAAAATTGTGCTATGCAAAAGATAGCGCATATATTTCAGTATGTGAAAAGACAAAGCACACGGCAAAATTGTCGTGGTACAAAATAAACGACTTCCCGGCGTAAGTCAAAGAGACGCAAATTGTACACAATTTGTTGTTCTGCAATTTAGTTGCTAAAGCCAGGAAATTTTTTTAGAGTTTTGAAAACCTGTCTCGGTACGAAAGCGTTTTCTCTTGCACAGCATGCTCACCTCGTATTTGTGGAAAGCTAGCGTTGCATCAGACACTAGTAAAAATCGTTTGAAAGTTTAGTTTGAAAGCCAACTTTGCATATTTTTACACACATTTCTGTTAATTAGTGGGCTATTTTTTCAAGGCGCATCCCACATGGAAAGGAATGACCTCGGGTACCTAGCGATCAGCGACACAAACGACATTTTGGGTATGCTGGTCATAGCAAGGGGTTAATCATCTTTTGCAAGTAAGCTCACGATTGCCGATAGTTGGTGAAGTTTTTCTTTACAAGTCGGTGTAGAAATTCAAGTCCAAGATCTGAGATTCACAGTTCAAGATTCAAGGCTCAAGATTATCAAGACTCAAGAATCAAGATTTCTGAAGTCAAGAGCTGGAGTTGTATCCTCCTCCCCCTGTTGGATTATTCCCTAGGTTTGTCCTACTTCGACAACCTAGGAATATTTCCTTCAAGGGCACTGATTATTGATATTTTGGTATATTATTTTTTGGTCAAATATGTTCTCTGTACATAGGCCAAATAC